AAATAGAAATTTCTGTGAAAACTGACAGAATTTACTAATTTAGAATAACAACTTTTCAGATTAGTTTAACAGTTATATCATATCAGTTGTTATGTATATTTATTAGAAATACATACATAGTTCACCTTGCAAACATTTCATCATTATCTGTCTCCAGTTTAATCGGTTAATCACTCATACTTGGAGAACAACTTAAATTAAAGCTGAAAAACAATGAGATTATTTGTTGTTGTTTTTTCTGAACTTTTTATATTTATTTTATAAAATTTTTACTGTGAAAGAAGCAAATTATCTCTGCAGACACAAGAATATTTAACTTGGATTAATTGCATGAATTTACCAAAAAAGAAAATATTGCATGGATACATAGCCTCATGCTACACAATTAATACCTATTCAATACTGAATAACTGTTGATTATTATTTGTCTAAAACAGAAAATTCTCTTTAGATAGATTTTTACTTCAAAAGCATTTTACCTAAAGAAACCTTACTTAAATTAAAAAAAAAAAATTTCAAACGCAATTGATTTTTATCCACCCGGTATCCAAATCCTATTGTCTAAAAAAAATCATTTGTTTGGGTTGTCCAACATTGATCTGTGTGGTGGTTTGGCTTATCCAAATATTGTCAGTGTAACATATTCAGGAAAAATGATTCAAAGGAACCAAAACAGAGTACAAAAATGAGCCAATTACAGTACTGAAAGGTACAAATATTATGTACATATTTTCCAGTACACATTTTTGCACCATTTTACTCACAGTTCTAGTAAAAAAAAAAGTAGAGGCAGTAAAGTCTATATTTATTTATGCATGTATTATACACTTATTAATATATATATAACATATATAAATATAGTTTTTTTGTTTTGTTTTTTTTTTCCCTATGTTGGCCACTTCTCACTTGATCGGTGAATAGAAAAAATATTTAGTGGCTTTCCAATAATAATGAATCATCTTTTTTTCCATCAATCGAATGGAACATAATGGGGACAACTTGTCTATTATCTTATGCATGAGTTATGGAATTTGGCAATCTGCCAATCACACAAAATTCAGACAAATCCCCATTTGTTTGAAACCAAATACACAAGTCTGCATCACAGTTCCTGCAGCATGTTAAATGTGATCTATTAATGCCAGCACCAATCCCCAACTAAGAATAATTTTTAAAATGAGTTCTAAATGCCCACTGCAGTTCATATTACAGGGGAAATAGCCCAATCCTCCCCAAATACATTTTCCAAAGTGAGCTTATAGGTAGCTTCCGGTAGTAAATATAATAAATAGTAATGACTTTAAAAAAAAAAAAAAAAACTTGGAGGGAATTGCACAGAATGTTGGAATACATTGTTGCTTGGTTTAACTGTCTGATGCAGGAAAGCTAGAGATTAATGTTAGCAATGAACACACAAATACAAAAAATTCAAAATTGCAACACTTACCTTCTGCTTGAACCCACACTATGTTCTCTGATAAAAGAGTTGCAATTACAAGAATTCTCAGGAGTGATAACGTCCTCATATTTTCCAGTTTTTGTACTGATTGGATTATCTCTACATGTAATTAACGAAATCTACAAAGAAAAATGATGACTTAGCTATCCAGGTAATGAAATGTAAACAGTATATAGCTAGGTGACATGCTATAATTAGCCAATCACTTAATATGTAGCATCTATTGGCTAAATTATATAGTCAAAATGTTTGGCTATAACATGTGCACTGTTTTTGACACTTTTATCTATGAAATTATTTATTTATTTTTTAGAGTTTCTATACCCCACATTTAAGACTATCAGGCTTATTCTCTTAAAGGACCACTATAGTGCCAGGAAAACATACTCGTTTTCCTGGCACTATAGTGCCCTGAGGGTGCCCTCACCCTCAGGGACCCCCTCCCGCCCGGCTCTGGAAAGGGGAAAGGGTTAAAAACTTACCTTTTTCCAGCGCTGGGCGGAGAGATCTCCTCCTTCTCTCCTCCTCCGTTCCTCCTCCTGGGCTGAATGCGCACGTGCGGCAAGAGCTGCGCGCGCATTCAGCCCGTCGCATAGGAAAGCATTTACAATGCTTTCCTATGGACGCTTGCGTGCTCTCACTGTGAAAATCACAGTGAGAAGCACGCAAGCGCCTCTAGTGGCTGTCAATGAGACAGCCACTAGAGGATTAGGGGAAAGGCTTAACCCATTCATAAACATAGCAGTTTCTCTGAAACTGCTATGTTTATAAAAAAAATGGGTTAACCCTAGAAGGACCTGGCACCCAGACCACTTCATTAAGCTGAAGTGGTCTGGGTGCCTAGAGTGGTCCTTTAAGTGACAAATCAGTGTGAATTCAAAGTGAACTTCAAATGTAAGGGTCAAATAGCCAAACTTGAAGTTTGTAAGCTATACTTTCAGTTCTGCTATTTCAATTGAAAATTAACTTTGAATTCATACCCTGCTATTGTTACGAAAATTGGTCATTCAACATTCAAGTGAGTATAAATATTATTTTAGCAGTGAGAAAAAGTTGAATTCAATTATACAAGAAAACCCAGAAAAATAGTAATCAATATTAATACACAATTACAAATAAAACAAAGCAGTTATTGACTAAATTAGGCAGTACGAAAATGATGTGGAAATGAATGAAAAATGTGAGACAAAAATAGCCATTACAAATTGTTTTCCAATTTTTTTCCCCCAGTTTGACTATTTTAGTCTTAAATGTGTACCACGTGGTCTCTTCTCCAGAATTTCATGTTTAATGAATAAATATTTCCCACATTTATTACAGTATCCAATTTGCTAATATCATTGCACTTTTCTAATTATATCCAACTTTTTCTCAGTTACGTGGCTTTCTTAAAGCTGCCCGATACTTCCACATGAGCTCAGTCTTCCTCTTTCACCATCTTCAAATGATCATTTAGAACAACTTATACAGGTGTATCCACTTGTTACAAATATTGAAATGTACTGTAGCGATCAATGTAGCTGACACAGCTCAACAGAGTTCAGTTGCCAAGAGTCATTTACGCATCCTGTTCGATAGCTCATATATCACTATTCAGTGCAGTAAAATTCTATCTATCCATCATTCTTCCATAAAATAATTATGGAACTTCTTCTGCACTTTACTAGTTTGGAAGCTCCACGCACATTTTAATGAAATGGTAACACTCTTTGTATACAGGAATGGATTTACATATCAAGTGACTTCCAATGTGCCCCCTGCTCCCTAATTGCCTCTCCCCATGACATGTCTCTGTTCCTGCCATTGACTGTAACTGTCTACATATGTGTTTTGTGTATATGTAACAGTGGTGGGTTTATTCACTAAACATTGAATTGTATTATATAGAAATCCAAATTTTTAAATGTACACAATGTGCTGATTTGGGAAAATGTTTCAACCCGGCTATAGTCAAAGCTTGACTGTTTTTGCCTACATTTCATAAATCAGTTTGCAATACTCTACAACATTTTTTTTTAAATAAACAAAGCCCTTTGCATAATATTTTGTATGTAATTAGTTTGACGGGTATACTGGCAGAAGTAGGTTACTTGGTATGTGGCTAGGTGAGTAGAAGTGTGTGGCTGGGTGAGTGTATGAGTTGGTGACTAAGTGGCTACTACAAAAGACTGGACATACCCTATTTTGAATACCCTGGGTTGGCCATGATGGGGTTATGTCACATTGATGGGCTACCACATGGTCTCAAAAGGCAACACAGACCCAGCAAACCAATCTGACAAAATGAATCGGGCAAGCCCTATATTGACCCTGTAACTTTCCAAAACACCATAAGTACCTGTACATGGAGGATATTGTTATACTCGGGAGACTTTGCTGAACACAAATATGAGTGTTTAAAACAGTAAAACTTATTACGACAATGAAATAACCAGTAAAAGTGCAGTTTGTGTGTAAAAAAATGCAAAAAAACAAATATGAACGCTAACTTTGGCCAGCCTTTTTGTGACTAAGTGGTTATTACAAAAGACTGGACATACCCCATTTTGAATACCGTGGTTTGTCTACTTTTACAAATGGCATGCCATGATGTGGTTAATTTTCATTCCTGGGCTGCTATACGGTCTCAAAGGCAACATAGACCCAGCAAACCAATCTGGCAAATTTCAATGTGCAAACAAGGAAAAGGGATAAGCCCTAACAAGAACTGAGAAACCATGCCTAACGTACAATTTGAGAGAAATAACACATAAAAATGACTACCCAAAAGCTTGACCATGACTGGTGGTAGAATTAGTGCATGGAAGGTGTTAAAATACCAACATTTAAAATACCCTAGGGTGTCTAACTTTCAAAAATATATGATTGATGGGGGTAAATTAAATTGTCCGTCTTCAAAAATGTCCCAAATAAGACACGGATGCATGATGGCCAGCTGTGAAAGTTTTAAGTTGGAAAACTGGAATGTGCACCCTCCAAATAAGGTCTTTTAGCTCCCTTAGTGACCAGACAATTTTTCAATTTTCTTACAGTTAAGGACCAGGGCTGTTTTTACATTTCTGCCATGTTTGTGTTTAGCTGTAATTTTCCTCTTGCTCATTTACTGTACTCACACATATTATATACAGTTTTTCTCACCATTAAATGGTCTTTCTAAAGATACCATTATTTTCAACATATTATATAATTTACTATAAAAAAATATAAAATCTGATGAAATTAAAAAAAAAAACACTTTTTATAACGTTGACCTCCAAAATCTGTTATAACCACCAAAAAAAAACCATGCTAAATAGATTCTAAATTTTGCCCTGAGTTTAGAAATACCCAATGTTAGCATGTTCTTAGCTTTTTTGGAAAGTTATAGGGCTATAAGTACAAGTAGGACATCGCTGTTTCAAAATATATATTTTGAAAATTTATCAATAGTAACATTGGAACGCTGTTATCTGTAATAAATATCTAAATTACACCTCACATGTACATACTTTTTTAAAGTAGACAACCCAGGGTATTTAATATGGGATATGTCCAGTCTTTTTTAGTAGCCACTTAGTCACAAACACTAGCCAATATATATATATATATATATATATATATATATATATATATATATATATATATATTGGCTAGTGTTTGTGACTAAGTGACTATATATGTATATGGAAAAACCAAGTAGATGGCTGCACTCACGGTTCTGTGTAAAAGTCCAAAGTTTATTGAAGATACATAAAATAACTTGCGATCAACGTTTCAGTCCTTCTAAGAGGACTTTCTTCAGGATCATATTGAGTGAGTGCAGCCATCTACTTGGTTTTTCTGGATACATTAGCTACATATGGCTGGCACCCGGTCATCTAAGGATGTATTAGCATGAGTGCAGGAACTATTTTTTTTGTTTTTTTTTTTGTTTCTTTGTTTTTTTTTTATTGTTTTTTTTATTTTTATATATATATATATATATATATATATATATATATATATATCAAAATACAGTTAGAATAAAATTATATATATATATATATATATATATTTAATTATTTTTAAAATTATTTTTACATTTTTGAATTTATTTTTATTTACTTATTTATATTTTATAATATATATATATATATATATACACAATATATATAGTTATTATATTTATTATATATATATACACGTGTGTAATGTAATTATAAGTGTACTTTTATATTAATGTATATATGTACATATTATATGGATATATTAATATAAAAATACATTTAGTATGACCTAAAATAAATAAATATATATATATATATATATATATATATATATATATATATATATCAAAATCCAAATAGGTGTTATGGTGGGAAAAAAATTGTGATTGAAAACCCCTTCCACCTGAAGTCTGTGGATAATTAATACAATGTTAAACAAAAATCTGCACACCAGTCAAGCCACAAGACTTTTTTGGGGGGGGCTTTCTGTGGGGAAAGCAAGTCTTATGGCTTTACTGGTGTGCAGATTTTTGTTTAACATTGTATCAATTATATATATATATGATATATATATATACATATTGTATATAGATATACTATATTTATATATATATATATATATATCATATATATACATATATTTATTTTATTTTGTAATTTATTAACATGATTTTTTAAAAATGTTTAACATAAGCAGGGAGACTGCCTGTCAGGTTAGGCAGTCCCACTGCAGGCAGCACTATGGACCCCTATTGCGGCCATGTGATCGCTCTTTCAGAGCGTTCACATGGTCCACGGGGGCCTAATTTGCAGAGGGGAGACTGTCTGGGCTGTCAGGCATTCCCCCCAGACCGGGAGCAACACAGATCGGCGGGGGAATGTCGGCGTTCGGGTAAGTAATAAGGACGGCTCATATTTGCCGCGGACGTACATAGTAAGGTACCTAGTAAGGTCCTTAAGGACCGTTTTTTGTCGGACGTACATAGTACATCCGCGGTCCTTTAGGGGTTAACAAAGTTGACTGTACATGCACTGAGGAAAACATCCTGCCAGGAAACTCATTACAACAATCAGCAAGGAGTGGGTTTACCTGTGACATGCCCCATGCTGTGTATTAATACAAAGAATATATCTAATATAATATCTTACTATAGCAACAACTAACACCAAAGTTTACTTTTGAAAATTAATATGTATATATTTTATTTGCAAATCTTTTTACATTTGTTTTTTTGCATTTTTGTAATTTGCTTTGAGTTATTTGGTTTATTGCCATAAATGGAGCACATATGCCTGATTTATTTGATTGTGCTATGTTTCATGCTGTTTTATAGACGGTAAAGGCACCTCATAAATAGAGAGACCTATTCAGCTCATGGTATGTGGTTAATGTACTTTTTTTTTTTTATAAAGAGGCATAGGATCAGGTACATTTTGTAGCCATTAGATGTTCATTTATCATATATGTATTGATACATTTTGTGTCTGAGTAGATTTGAGTCTCCTGCTAAAAGTTCAACAGCAATCATTTTCTCATTCCATTGGAATGCTGTGTCCAACTGCCTTTCAAGTTCACACACAGCAATATATACGTTGTATTTATAAAAGCAGGTATTTTGTTGTTGAAGGACACCCTTTCAATGTTCAAGGACAAAACCTACGTTTTATGCAACATCTGTGCTATTTGATCTTTTATAGTCAAATTCCTTTGTACTAAGCAGCAACATGGTACTTCTTCTCTTATCAGTCTTGCCAGGGAGATAAAATTGTCCTAATTCTCAATGCATGGTAAACCAATAGCTAGGTCTCCCAATGGAGAGTTTCAAGAAATATAAGATTATTTAAAATAAATACCATATAAATCGTGTATTAATCTTTATATAATTATTCTGAAAAAAAGACTTAACACTTTAACACAACAACTGGACACTGCGTGAGCAGAACTAACACCACAAACACTCCCCCTACATTGTAAATGTTTGTAAGCAATCAATTAACGATTTCCATTTCCATTCATTAATCAATTAAACCAACTAACGGAAAAATATAACTGAACAGTAACATCATGGAATCGATAACGAGATAAATACATGTGTAATACTGGTAATGTCTGTTTTGAATTACCTAACATAAACATTCACACACTGCCATATTTACTCCTGTGACCTGTTAGCATGATCAATTCACGTGGCTCTTTGTGACCTCCAACCTGTGATGCAATTAAAAAGCCTACAAAAATAAATATTGCAAGATTATTAACTAATTCACAAGCTAGGTCCTATCTTAAATCATCCCACTCTCAGTAACCCCTAATCTTGGCTATTCTAATTTGTTGCCCCTTGGCTTGTACTCTGACTTTTCTCCTGTCTCACTACAGGCAGGGCCGCCATCAGAAATTTTGGGGCCCCTGACAAAGCTCAAGGTCTGGGCCTGATTGCACAGCGTGCGCCACTCATGTCGTCAGCACATTGTCTGAAGAACTGCCACGCCAGGGAACTCCTTGGAGCTGGCTTTGGTGTGCTCGATCCCTCGGTCCCCTAGGGGACGGCCGCTCTGCTTTTGCACCCTGCTCCCTCTTATGCTGTGCTGGTGCCTCTGTGCGACCACGGCCTCTTCCTCTAAACTGCACACGTCACTCGCATGACCTTCATTCCATGTGGGGTCTAGGACCTCATCATCCTCTACATCATCTTCCACCCACTCCTCAACCCTGCCCTCCTTGCCGGTCTGCACACTGCGGAAAGCCACAATAGTTGGCACCTGTGTTTCGTCATCATCAGAGACGTGCTGCGGTGGTCCTTGCATGTCCACATCCTGACACATAAGTGGTTGTGCATCAGTGCACTCAATCTCTTCCACTTCTGGGGCAGGGCTAGGTGGATGGCCCACGGAAACCCCGCCAGCAGAGTCATCAAAAAGCATAAGAGACTGCTGCATGACTTGTGGCTCAGACTGCTTTGCTGATTTGTAAGGGGGTGAGGTGAAAGACAGATGGCCATGGGCTGCAGGTGCCAAGTCTGAACTTTCAGCAGGGGACCGGGTGGGAGACAATGTGAAGAAACTGGAGGCACTGTCAGCCTTCCAATCGACTATCACCTGTACTTGTTCTGGCCTCACCATTCGTAGAGCGGCATTCGGGCCTACCATATAACGATGAAGGTTCTGTCGCGTACTCGCACCTGAGGAAGGTGTTTCACTTGTGCGTGTAGCTGGTGACCACGTCCTCTCCTTGCAACAGGAGCTCTACCAACACTAGCAGCACCACGACCAGGGCCACGTCCCTTACTTGACGCTCTCCTCATTCTTTGCGTTCACCCACCAAACTAACAGATGGTTTATGTCAGGCGACAATGTAACCGCCAATATTCAACAATTTTTGTTTTTTTTGTTTATTGGACTGCAAGAAATGCACCACAGGCCACAAATGTACTATTTAGCACCAAAACAATTTGAATTTTTAAAACTGCGCTGTAACCACAGTATTTGACGGTTCTATTTGACTCTCAGATATGAAGTGCAGGCCCCAAATGTACTATTTAGCACCAAAACAATTAGAATTTTTAAAACTGCGCTGTAACCACAGTATTTGACGGTTCTATTTGACTCTCAGATATGAAGTGCACCGCAGGCCGCAAATATACTATTTAGCACCCAAAAAATTGAATTTTTTTATTTTTTATAATTCTTTATTTTTGCAATGACAGATGAGGAAGTAAAAAGACATTTACTGTACATATGCTCGTTCAAGAGCCAATGTATGGTTCGAATTTTTAAAACTGCGCTGTAACCACAGTATTTGACGGTTCTATTTGACTCTCAGATATGAAGTGCACACATGTACTATTTAGCACCAAAAAAACTGCAGTATTTAAAAATGCCTAGATGTTGCCCACTGAGCTACCAATACAGGATTAAAGTAATGTGCCTGGCACACATGCTGTTGCAAGTGCACTGCACTCTCTGTAATCGCTGTAGTTTGCAGATTCAACACCAGAATTCTTTCCTAATCTGTCCCTCACAGCTGCAGCATCCTCTCCCTACACTAATAAGATCTCATGTGCGTGCGGCGCTATGTGACTCCAGCTTATATACAGAGGCTGGGTCACATGCTGCACTGGCCAATCGTAGCCATGCCATTAGTAGGCTTGGCTGTGATGGCTTGTAAGGGCACACGAGTCAAACGCTCGTTGATTGGCTGCCCTGCAGCCTTTCAAAATGCACTGATATGTCCGTGTTCGGGTCCGGGGTCCAAAAACTGTAATGTTTGGTACGAACCCAACCTTTACAGTTCGGATATGCTCAACTCTACTCTTGACCATTATCCAATTCAAACAAGGCAAAAACAGAGCAAACAATGCAAATGAAGAGGACAAATAGAAATTGTTAATTTCTCTTCTCTGAATGCTCTCTCCATGTTGACTGCAGAGGACAATGATTATAACAATGATAACAGGGAGATAAGATGTAAGCACCCACTTGCAGGATAAAGAGATGTCAATCTAATTTTATTTTTAAAATCTAACAAATAAATATTTCTTAAATCTGAGGAAAGATAGACATATTAAAAAAAAAAAAATGAGGGAGGAAAGTAAGCCGCAGTCTAAAAATCAGCAAAACTATTAAGAGTTCCACAATCTTATTATTAGACAGAATGGGGATAAGGAGAACAAGGAAGTATTAACAGGTCACAAGTTAGGACGTTACACTGTTACCGCTCATATCCAGTTCATGTCAGCAATGATAATTGCTGTTTTAATTCATTAGCACGGTCTCATTTGATTATTTAGTTTTATATTATTTAAAAAACTGTGAAGTAACAGATCCCCCCCAAAAAATGGCATTCTCATCCCATGCTTGTATGTATAGATTTTCTGTTCACAAAACTAGTACTCAAATTGGAGATTGTGTTGAAAATTGTCATTGCTGACGTGAGTGTAAGCAGTGTAATGTCTTAAACTGTGACCTGTTAATAATTGCTTGTCCTCATCATCCCCATTCTGTCTAATAAGATTGTGGAACTCTTGTATATGGTTTATGATACTATTAAATAGGTGCAGATACTCAATATCTGTGGATACTCCCAGTAAAAGCCATCATGTGTACATTACATTCTCTTTTTAGTTCACACATCTGGCTCACTTTATTAAGCACATATGGAGTAAAAACATCATATTTTGTAGTTGGCATGCCCTCTATACTGTTCTGCTCCTCAATTCTTAAAATAAAAACCACATTACAGCAAATTTCATGAGATGTACATGTTTTAAGAACATGTCGTGAAAATATTTTAATGTGGCATTTCCCAGCTCAAATGGCCCCTAAGACGACAATAATTCCTGGTGCGTTTGCCTATCTTGTCAGAAAGTAGTGACGTCCATATGTGGTGGTTCACTCTGATCACAAAGTAACATTGCATGACTTACATGTGTTCCTTTATGTCAGGCTTCCCCAAACTCCGTCCCTTCAGATGTTGCTGAACTACAACTCCCATGATTCTCAGCCTATTTCATTTGTAGAATCATGGGAGTTGTAGTTCAGCAACATCTGGAGGGCCGGAGTTTGGGGAAGCCTGCTATATGTAATATACATACTGCAGACACATGGCATTGAGGTATGACATCACTTCTGATTCCAGTGTGCCATTTCGGAGGTTTTGTCACTACAAAATTATTTTAGTATTTCTTTATTAAATGCTCATACTAACTGTGTTGGAATTTCATTGACAAAGTCAAAAGATAACACAAGACAAAGTATGGACTACTTGTCTTATAGTACATGCCTAAGTTGAGAGCAAGCAGAGCTTTTATCAATGTTATCAATTCTCACAGCCATTGCACAGGCATTGTCTTGCTCATCACAATACTTGACCTGTGATGGCACTCACTGTCTCACTAGATGTTCCATAGATATCAGTGTTGTAATCTTGTGTATGTTTGACTGTACAGCAGTGACATGGCTTCTGGCAGATGAAGTGCCAGAAACTGAAGAAAGAATATGGGACAGTTTCAGAAAAGGATGAATACCTTTGGCCACTGCAACCCAGCAAGGATGTCGCCAGCTGACAGGGCTGCTTTAAAAACACACAGAGGTCAATGGCCTTCCAAGAACCTAATCATGCATCAGTGCCTGAACTATATTTACAATAAAGTAATATATTTATCTCTAAACCACTCACCCTACTGACCTTAATAATATCTTAAATTCACTCACTTAACATCCCTTTCATTGTGTATAAAAACCACTCACTATTCTGCCTCTCACTGCATTTTAAATCCACTCTCCCATCTGCCTTAAACTGAATTTCACAGCCTCTCATCACATTGCCCCTCACTGCATCTCAATGCCAATAAATATGCTGCTTTTTACTGCCTCTCAATACATTATACCCTACTTCCCCTCCTCTTTCCGTCTCTTCTTCTCATTTAAAGTTTACTAAATCCATTTGTTTAAACCCGTCTCTGCTCATATTGCTATTCTGTATACACCACCCAACTGTCTCCCTACTCTTTTTCATTGCTGGTGTCCCCTCTCCTCTAACATTTGCCACTTACTCCTTGGGTGCAGTGGCCGAATTACCGTGGTCGCAGCAGCAACTGCAGGGAGTCAGCATGGGAACTCTGACTCCCATCAGCCTGAGCCACTGGACCCCAGGGAAAGTCACCCTCCTGCACCTAAAAGGTCGTAAACAGGAGGGTGACAAACATTTTGCATGTGTGTGTGTTAGTGTATCTGTATGTATGTGTGTGTGTGTGTGTGTCTGTATGTATGTGTCTCTGTACGTATGTGTGTCTGTGTGTATGTATGTTTGTGTGTATATCTGTGAGTATATGTCTCTGTGTGTGTGTCTGTATGTATGTGTCTCTATGTGTGTGTGTGTCTTTGTGTGCATGTCTACATGTCTGTCTGTATGTATGGGTCTGTATGTATGTCTATATGTATGTGTGTCTTTGTATGTCTGTATGTATGTGTGTGTGTTTGTATGAGTGTGTGTGTTTGTGTGTCTGCGTGTGTGTATGTATGTGTGTGCCTGCATGTATGTTTGCGCTTACATGTGTCTCTGTGTGTGTCTATGTGTTTTTCTGCATGTACACCTGTTTGTCTGCAGGGGTGGCGGGGACATATGGGGTGGGGGTAGATGTATCAGTTAGCATGAAAAATTTACCGCACGTTAAGTGTGCCCAAACAATTGGGCAGAGCCAGATAAGGGTGTGTGTTACACCCCTTGAAGCTTGCTATGAGCCATGTATTGTTACAAGGTTGCAAGATATATGTATTTTAAATATAGGGATAAGTAAACAATATTTAAAAAGTTGAAGTGTTATATCCCTTTAAGAGGTCTTGGGAGAAATGGGAAGGTTAGTTTAATGCAAACAGTATCTTCATGATAATGACTTATTGACTGCCCCGCAGTCACCATATGCATTAGTACAGCAGAGAAGAGCCATATTGCACCAGTTAAAAGTAAGAAAACAGAGCCTTGCAAACTTTTATTACCGAGCCTCAAAAATGCTAAAGATGGACCTGATGTACAGCACAAACCATAATCTTTATATTTTAATAGTCATAATATCTATATATACCTGTATACTTGATGTTAGATATGTTACTAGAAGGTGGATTAGGAGGCAGAGAGCACATTGACAACAATCATTACCCATTAGGGAGCATAGACAGCCAGTCTATCAAGGACTCATGCTCAAACAGGAGCCCGAAGGGCTTTCTTTATTTCTGACTGCCAAGTGCAGGCACTCAGTTGCAAAATAAAGAGGTGTGGATTTCAACATGTTACTTTTCACACCTTACAAATACATATTTGTTAAATATAGGAATAATTAAACAGAATATTAAAAACCCTGGGAATAGCTGTTCCTCTTTAATATTAGCCTTGTACAAGAAAGAAAAAACAATAATCTAACGTGTGTTATCAACAGACAATACAATGCAAAACAGTCCGAGTGAATTTTAGAACATAAAAAACAGCTATATTTTCAGTTTGGTTCTTTTGGACTCAAATTCAAAATTAGGTTTTGATTTATATATAGTTATTAAATCACCCTGTTTGAATATTATTGGTCTTTATGTATGATGATCATTCTGAGTATAACTACTAAGGCTGGGGCAGCCATGTTGTGAACTAGTTAAATTATGTTATTGATTGCATAAGATCCAGCATTTTTTCTCAGAATTATTCATAGAAATATAGTTCAACATGTAAGAAATGCCAGATTGTGCTCCACACGCATGAAGTAATGCAAGTCATTGATGTCATTTCTTGTCCATGTGGTGGGCCTGGAAATCAGATTTCATTCTGCAATCATATTTTGTATTCTGGCTACATGTCTCTAACGGGAAATCATATATAGAGATAGAGAATTAAAGCATTTTTGTCTACAGTAACTGTGGCAAAGGAAATTCCCTTAGAGAGGAGTAGCCAACATTGGTCATGTTTGCCACCTGTTCTGCACAGTTAACCAGCGCTGAAGTTGAAGGGGTGTGCATATTATCTCCTAGCCAGCAGAGATATGAGAAGTTTAAACCTCATGCAGCACCTCATTATGAATTACTTTCTGTTTGACATAGAAGAACAGATGTTTGCTAATATCAGGTGTGTTAAATATCAGCATATTTTCTGTGACTGGATCTTGCATGTGTTTTGTGAGTACCACAGTATTAAATCTATGAAGATAACTGTGGGGCCTACTATAGTGCCCCCTCCCTCCCCGCACCCACATCTGCAGTGCAGAAGGGTTTAAAAAACCCTTCTGTCACTTACCTGGGTCTACATTCGCTCCTCCGCCCCGCCAAATACGCGTGCGCGGCAATGGCCACACTCGCATTGGGATTTCTTCATAGAAAATCATTATTAAACGCTTTCCTATGGGGATTCCGGTGACGCTGGAAGTCCTCATGCATATCGACCAAAAAGTTGCCTAACAATCCGGAAGTCCATCTAGTGGCTGTCTGGTAAACAGCCACTAAAGGAGGAGTTAACCCTCAAGGATAATTATTGCAGTTTATAAAAAAAAAACTGCAATAGTTACCTTTCCAGTGTTAAGATTGTTGGGGCACTGCACCCAGACCACTTCAATGAGCTGAAGTGGTCTGGGTGCCTATAGTGTCACTTTAAGGTTGGTGGGTAGCTCCTTCTTTTACTCATTATCATTCCATAAAAATGTGCTCCATGTAGTGCCTGCTATTATTACCCTTGTCAGTTTCCTTATTTACAACCAGGGCAGCTTGTGAACAACAGAATACTGCATTTGATGTGAGCCAGTGGCAGATCCAGAGCCTGATCTCGGGAGGGGCACTTGTAGATTATTTAAATAAATAATCCAGACACAATTACCACTACAGCTCAGTGTAGTGGTTATGGTGCCAATAGTGCCGGGACCTCCTCCCAGAGTAAGTAGTAAAACCGTTTAAGAACAGTTTGACAACTTACCTGAGGTCTGCTGGGAGATGGGGCTGTCATAGGGCATAGCAGCAGTGGTGTGTGTTAGGGGGGCAGTGTATGTGTGGGTCAGTATGTGTGTGACAGTTGCAGTGTATGTGTGTATGGGGGGGCAGTGTATGTGTAGGGCAATGTGTGTATGGGGGGCAGTGTATGTGTAGGGCAATGTGTGTATGGGGGGCAGTGTATGTGTAGGGCAATGTGTGTATGGGGCAGTGTATGTGTGTGTGGCGGCAGTGTGTGTATGGGGACAGTGTATGTGTATGGGGGTATGTGTGTTCAGTGTGTGTATATGATGGCTGTGTTTGGGGCAGTGTATGTGTATGGGGGCAGTGCGCAGTATGGGGGCAGTGTGTGTGTATGGGCAGTGTGTGTATGGGAGCAGTGTATGTGTGTATGGGGCAGTGTGTGTATGGGGTAGTGTGTGTGTATGGGGCAGTGTGTGTATGGGGGGCAGTGTGTGTGTAGGGTGTGTGTGATAAGGCTTTGGGGGGCTTTTTTATAATATGCTTTTTTTTAAAAAAATGTATTTAATTAAAATTAATATACTTTATGTCCCCCCCTCCCTTCTTAGCTTTACTGGGAGGAGGGGGGACATTTCTG